GGAAGGAATGCGTGGATCTTCTCTTGAAGCACGGCGCTGCTGTGTAAGTGAAACCATATCTTCTCTCTCTAATTAACCAGCATGAACTGCCGACCGCTCGCTCACATTCAACTGTTTCTAAACGACCGCAGCACGCTCCAAAATCTGGATGGGAAGACCCCCATCGAGGTGGCCAAGCTCAACAGCCAGGGCGAGGTGGTGAAGCTGCTTGAGCAGGACGTGTTCCTATGAAGCAAAACTCTCAGACCCGCCGCCCATCGATCCTAAAACTCTCCCTTTGGTTCGGGACTCTCGGCGGTGTCATATCCTGGCATGGTGTTGGTTGCTTTCCCTCGGTTTACTTAGTTGGTAGCTCTCGCATGTAACCTGTGTGGCCTTGCGGTGCTACTTAACAAGAGTCCATCTTCTCCGTTGGTTTGATCCTGCTGTGCAACCCTGTTCTTGGTCCATCTCCATGCACGGGGGATATGGGTTCGCTGTGGGAGATGTCAGGGGTGATGATGATTGCGTATATACCCCTTTCGTGAATATTTCTTGGTGTTGAAAATGATACGTGAGGTGCAAATTTTGTTTAATCTGTTGTTTAGGCTTTCTGCTTCCGTTCTCTTCATCTTCAGAAAATCTTTGTGAGTCTTGTAGCGCGAACTCGTTTAAGACTGATTTTGAAGTCGGTTGGAAAAAGGCACGAGGGCGAAACCAGCCCACAAGTGTGTTAGGCCGAAGTCAGAATGGAGTCGTATATTAGTAGAGGGTTGGCCTTTGAAGTAGTCGACGTCATGCTGGACTAGGGTGAATATCAGGTTGCAATTGATATTTTGTCGTTGGGGGTCCATAATCAAGATCTTTTAATTTTGGCTATGACTAGACAGCCGCGTCGCATGGTTGCCCCTCTCGCTCTCTCTCTCCCCTGCCACAACTGTTGGATGATGCATCTTCCTAGGGTGAATATCAGGTGATGCCATGACTTGTATGCTCCCATGATACTAATTGAGGTAATATCACTGGAAGTCATAAAACTTGCGCTCAATGTTCAGTTTGGTGCTAAAACTTTAAAAATACGGATTTGTGGTCACATAACTTGTCCCCGCATGCATATACGGTGCTTCCTCTCGTATCCAGTCACATGGCCTGTCCGCATGGCGTGCCAGCCTGGTGGAGGCCCACTTGTCAGTGGTTGGGAATGCACAAGGCACCAGGTGACCATAGCACACTGGATTTTTTTATAGAGAACTCCCTCAAAATTTATTTAATTGCGCACAAAGCCCTCAAATATAATGAAAAAAGATGGCACACATGTGGTTCAAACACGGGACCTGTTAATAAAATAGTCTGCCATACATCATTCCATCAGTGCCGATTGACGTTCAACACGATCAACGAAAATTCGTTTAATCACAAACAGAAGCACCAACACGAAGTGAGTGACGGAAAAGGGTGGCCCAACAGATTCGATCTCTCAACCTCAAGCGTGCAGGACACACTGGAGCTAAACGCTACACTAAGTACCAACCAATGTCTATAAAGACAGAAGCCGGATTTTATATATTGTCCACAACCACTACTCGTATTCAGGTTCTTTTTCTCTCAGACCGAATTTTCGACAACCGACCAGTCCCCAGAAAATTTGGCGGTCCCCGGAAAAAATGTTATCGCCCAAAATTTTGAATTTAAACAACAAAAACTATGTCAAATATAATAACTTTTGTGTGCATACAATATCATAATGACACAGTTAGCTTAGTGGCAGGGGCCGCGATTCTATTCCTTATATTGTGAAATATATTTTTCTTTATTCATGCTCATTTATAAAAATGGTCTCGAACTGTAACAATGAATTGAACATGCAAACTTCTATATAAGAGAGGAGTTGAGCTGACCACTGTAACAAGCGTCACTTTTTTTGCTAAATTAAATATATTTAGACGATAAAAAGATTTGAATTCAAAATTCATTTCAAAATTTTGGTAGATAAAAACTGGAATTGCCAAGATATTTCGAAACCCGGATTTTTCCGACCCCTCTCGAAAAAAAGGAATAAAAAATTCTCACTCATGACAAAGTTTTGTACGGTATGGATTAAACATTATACATTTTGAAACAGTTTTCTTAATTGTTTTTTGGTGAAAAAAGGCGAGATTTTCCTGTATCCAGTTTTTACTAGCCGAACCTGGGAAAAAACGGAATCTAGGAAGAACCGCGTCTAATATAAAATCAGGTTTACCTCTTTACAGGAAGGAATATGTAGTTGGTGTAGTGCTTTGCTTGTGCATGGATGTACCCGAGGTGTATGGAGTTAAAATCCCTGCGCGTGTACTTTTTATTTTCATTTTTCACACCACCTCATGCTGACAAGTGGGACACACAGAGGGGATTATGCTCAATTAAATTAATTAAATACAGACCAAGGGTGCTTCTGCAAAGAAAAAACGCGGCGAGCTGTTTCGGTGACTAACAGTGGGCCATAGCCATGTTGGGGAGCCACGTAAGCGCGGGATATGTCTGAATATGACCAAAGTGACCGTATTTGCACAAGAACGCAAGTTGAATGACCACAAATCCGTAATTTTAAAGTTTTAGCACCAAACTGAACATCGAGCACAAGTTCTATGACTCCCACTGATATTATCTCATACTAATTTGACAAAGTTGATTTAAATGTTTAGAAAAAAATCTGAAAAGAAATTATGGATGTTCACAACCCATGTGTCTACGATCCATAAAATATTTAGAACAAAATTCAAAATACACATTGAGAAACAAAAAAGGCAAATTCAGCATAATAGTGTCAATAAAAACAAAAGCATGAATATTGTCACAACCTACACTACTCACATCCGCGTTTTTTTGTTTCTCTACATGTACTTTGAATTTTGAGCTAATTTTTTTAGGGTTTGTAGACATGTGTGTTCTGAACGTCCACAAATTTTTCAGAATTTTCCAAAACATTTAACTTTGACTTTTTAAAATTGGTATCATGGGAGCATACCAGAGGCGGTATCACCTACTGGGCATCTACATGCCATGCTCTTTCCGGCAGCCCACCTACATGCCATCCCTACGCTATGCTCCGACCATGCCTCTCTTCCCCTTTAGGGAACCCACCTCACATATAGGGAACCCCACCTCACATACAAGCATTACTTAAAGTTCGAGGAATTCTGGCTCAAATATGACGACTTCAAGGAGAAAGTCGCCGAGGTGTGGCATAAGCATGTCAACGCACACAACCCCATCCGTCGAGTCCTTGTCCAGCTTTTAGCCGCCTTGCTAAGACGCTTAAGATCTAGCAATGTCAGAAGGTGCGCGACATTGAGACACATATCTTAATCTCCAAGGAGATCATCTGGCAGCTTGACCTGACAAAGAAATCTTGCTTGTTCACTCGTGAGGAACGATGTATGCGCTGCAATGTTAAGAGCAACCACCTAGGTCTCCTCTTGATCCAAAAAATTGAAATAAGACATCGAACCAGGCTCACAACTATTCGAGTTGCGGATGCGAACATTATGCTTTCCCGCATCAGAGCAAATGGGCGCGGAAAGAAGAATTTCATCTAGTCGCTCGAGGACTGCCAATGGGGTCACCGTCATGCAAGAGGACAAAGAACTTGAGCTCCACTCCCATTCCAGTGGGCATCTGGGACGAAGTCGCATTGCTCTATCAAAATCAACTGGGAGGCCCTTGGCTACCAGCGCCGTGATTTGTGTGACCTTGATGCGGACGAGATCAAAGAGATCGTGTTCTCCCTCCCCTCTGGCAAGGCACCCGGCCCTGGCAGCTTCATTGGGGCTTTCTTGAAGAGGTCGTATTCTCCCTCCCCTTTTGAAATGAGGGTCACACTTTGACGAGGACGAGGCGTATGGGATGTTTGGTCCCTTTATTATGTTTGTGACAAAATCTTTACAAACTTATGTCGTCTTTCACCACCTAGCGAGTCTATGCTGGACTCACGCCACATTTAGGCGTCTTTGTGTCTTTAGAAAATAGGACCAATGGTAATGTCCGATTATAATACTGTACTGTCGCAAACCTTTCGTGAAATACATCTTTAGTTCAGAAAGGCATGTCTGACTGTGTTTATATTTTTATTGTTTCTACCTGGATTCTTGCATGAATCTTCTTTGTTTTAATTTAGTGGTACTTTAGTGGATGCGTCCTAAAGAGAAGAGCCTTGTTAACCTACACCAAGAAAAAGAGTGCGAAGTTGACGAGGTTGTAAAACGAACGATAAAACAAGAGCGCAATATGTACGTCACAAAACTCAGTTTCTCAGAGGTACTAAAAGAGCGTGTTGTTTCGCAAAGAAGAAAAGTATATATAGTTGATGCCAAAAAAGAAAAATGCTTTGTGCTAATGTATAGCACATCCCCCATCGAATTAATTTATACAACATTTTTCTATATACATTCGAATACTGTACACTTTTTTTTTTGAGGGGGTTTATAAATATACTGTACATACTGTACACATTTTTTCGATGCTGTTTGCGTCCTTGCCGGGCGCGTAGCAGGCGGGCCGTCCCGTTCTTTTAAATCGGATCCATCTTATCTCCTGCGGCGGTATGGTATTATTATTTTTCTATTGTACGATCTTTTTCTTTTTTTGATTGAGAATATTCTGTCGTATCGATCGAACCGCCCGTTGTGGATCCTCACTCGGCAGACGCGAACCGTCGGATCCGGCCCGTTGCTGGTCCCGCCACCCGCCTTCCAGTCCACCCGGGCTGACCGGGCGTTGCTGCGAGAGAACGGCACCGTTATTTTATTGTCCGTTTATTAGAGCCCCATGGCCCATGGCCGGCGCGCCGGGAGCGCGAGCAGTGGCAGGCAGGCACCACCATGCTCGGCGCCGTCCTCCGGATGCGGCTCCGGGTGCTCCGGCGCCACCTCCGACTCCGCGGCCGCAGGCGGAGGTGCAGCTCTCGGTCCCGGAGAGGGGGCGGCGGCGCGGCGGGGGGCGAGGAGGAGGCGGCGCGCGAGCCGGTGCTGCTCGTGTCCGGGATGGGCGGGTCGGTGCTGCACGCGCGGCGGCGGTCGGACCCCAAGTTCGACCTCCGGGTCTGGGTGCGCATCCTCCTCGCCGACCTCGAGTTCAAGAAGTACCTCTGGTCGCTCTACAACGCCAAAACCGGTGGGTTGTGGCTTTGGCTTGCCCGTGTTCCCCAGCTGTTCGATGAAACGTTTGGGTGCGGTGGGGGTGGTTGATTGATTGAGGTGGCTTCCGGTGGCTTCTTGTGCAGGCTATGTGGAATCGTTGGACGACGATGTGGAGATTGTGGTGCCGGACGACGATCATGGCCTGTTCGCCATCGACGTTCTCGATCCTTCCTGGGTGAGTGGGCTTATGCCTGTTAGGTCAGTGAATGGAGTTGAATAGTACTACATCTTTTCTTCCGTTCGTTCGATCTTCGACGAACTGTACACTGGCAGTAGGTTTATTTTTTGCCCCTTTCTGTGAGCATGGCCGGTGGGAGTTTTCGGGGGGTGATTCTTGTGACATTTGGTGTCTGTTAATTGGGGCAAATGGGAAGGGAGAAGAGGAAGTGGACATATAGAGATAGAGGGATCAGTGATGGATATCCGTTTCGTACTGTCGTATGGAGAGCTTTCTTGTCCTTTTAGCTTACTAGTGCTCTTGGAGAGCGGATAACAGGATAGGGACAGGCATTTGGCACATATGGACTGTAAATTGCATTTAGATTGTGGACCGACTAGGATGAAAAAAATGGATTTATGTGGACCATGGTTGCTTACCACAGGACAAAAAATACTGAGCCAGAGCTATTGTAGTCCATCAAATTTGTATTTATATTCTCTTAACTTCAAGGAATGAATACATGCTTTGGCTCATGAAGTGGTCAATCAAATGATCTATGCAGTATATGAGGAATCACGGGGCTACAACTAGTAGCTAAAAATGGAGCATTGAGACTGTGATAATACATGCCAAGTTGCTAATATGCTTGCATGTCATATCAACAAGATTCGTGTTCGAACAATTAATCCATCGGTGAAACTGATGCTTATCCTGCTTGATTGCTCTTGGTACTTAAACATTTTGACGTTGATTTCAGGTGGAATTAATTCCGTAACTGCTGAGTTCAAAATGAAAATAAACATTTTTTGTATTGTAAAAATATTGGAAAGAGAATTTTACTTAAAAATGTTATCTTAGCTTTTGATCTGAACAAGTTCACTTCAAGAATTCATGGGATGGCTAATCCCTCATTGAGGGTATTTAATCATGTAATTCAAATCATTATTCAAGAAGCGATTCCCTTTCCGATTTAACCAGTTGTTGCAAAGAGCATAATTTTTGTGATCTGATTTGTGCCCATCTCTCTTAAATTCAGTTTGTAGAGCTACTGCATCTGACTATGGTGTACCATTTCCATGATATGATTGATATGCTCCTTGACTGTGGATACGAGAAAGGAACAACACTATTTGGATATGGTTATGATTTTCGTCAAAGCAACAGGTACAATCCTCTAAATCAACACTTAAGTGGGTTTCGGATGCTATAATCAGTAGCATACAAAGTGGCTTAGCCTAAAACATTTTCTCTTGCACAAGCACAAGGTGCTGTAACGATGGTTTTATCTGGCAGGATAGACAAAGCAATGGCTGGTTTGAGAGCAAAACTTGAGACGGCTTACAAGGCCTCTGGTGGGAAAAAAGTAAACATAATCTCCCATTCTATGGGAGGATTGCTAGTACGCTGTTTCATGTCTATGAATCATGATGTGAGTTTTCTTGTTTGATATGCCACTTTGCCTATGCAGCCAAAATTCGTTTCTCAAATCTTTCCATTTCATTTTTCTAGATATTTTCAAAGTATGTCAATAAATGGATTTGCATTGCTTGTCCATTTCAAGGTAATGCACTTTCAGTCAATTGATATATTCTGTCACTTCTCACCTTTGATAGGATACACTTCTTATGTTAGTTCTCATATCTTGGCAGGTGCCCCAGGATGCATCAATGATTCTCTTCTAACTGGACTGCAGTTTGTTTATGGTTTTGAAAGTTTCTTTTTCGTTTCTCGATGGGCGATGCACCAACTGGTAATTTCTTGACCATGTTGCATCTAAGCTTCATGAACTCATCAATGTTTGCTACTGTACAGTAGCTATTCCATACCATCTAAAAATAATCTCCGCCTCTTCACTTTATGTAGTTGGTTGAGTGCCCATCAATCTACGAAATGCTACCAAATCCAAACTTTGAGTGGAAGGAAAAACCAATCGTTCAGGTTTGGCGAAAGAATCCTGAAAAGGATGGAACAGTAGAGCTAGTTTTGTATGAAGCAACTGATTGTGTTTCTCTGTTTGAAGAAGCTTTACAAAATAATGAGGTATTCATACTCACTTCTACATGTTTTTGATATAACAATGCCATTTTGTTGTATATTGGCCACGCAAGCTCATTTACTAGAGACAAGAAACATCCAGACAGACTTGTTGTAATACGCATGAAAATCACATGTACATTGTCCAGTACATTAATTTCATAGTATATACATTAGTAGTAGATTCCAGATATATTTTACTTTCGACAGTCAGGGTCTTAGGGACAATATGCACTACAAATGAATTTATTCTTTGTGGTAGTGGCAGTGCACTATGCATGTTTCCTTTGATTGTTATGTCGTGTTTAATCTAAAAAATGTAATGAACTATTCAGACATTCCCACTTTATCTTGTTTTATTCTCGGAAAAACTTTTCCTTCTATTAATTTTTTTAACAAGTGGAAGTTGATGTAACTCTTGCATGAAGCTATATATAATGTATTTTTGGACTCTTAGTCAGCTACTTGTTTGATACTTCATTCTATTTTTTCTATCTGTAGCTCAATTATAATGGGAAGACGATTGCACTACCATTCAATATGTCCATCTACAAATGGGCTACTGAGACTCGCCGTATTCTTGAGAATGCTCAACTACCAGATACCGTGAGTTTTTATAGTATACATGGGACATCTTATGAAACACCATATGATGTTTGGTAAGTATTATGATGGCAATTAATACTAACGTCGTGTGTTTTTAACCTTTTATACTGTTCTAGAAATGATAATGTGAGATCCATCATTATTATTAGGGTGCGTGAGATTCATCATTATTGTTAGGGTACTATAACTCTAGCGTTGCTCATCAGTTGGGAGCTTCCGATACAGTAGCTGATATGATTGAATAACAATGAAGCAATTTTCTGTTAATGTTCGCTTCACAGTAGTCGACTTAAGCTTCAAAACAAGTGCTGTCAGCTTATATTTCAGTATTTCTTTTCCTTCTGCAACACAGAGTTGTTCTCTTTTAGGTAAGTTTAGAAGCTGATGAGTCTGATAGCAAATGTACTGTGTTTCATTCCTCCTGGCTTTCCTTTTTTGCACAGCTATGGCTCTGAAAGCTCCCCAATTGGAGATCTCTCAGAAGTGTGCCGCACAGTGGTACTGTCTTCCGTTACCTGAAGTCTGACATGTTCTTGTTGGAATCTTGCAATGCCTGTTTATGGTAATGACATGTGATTATCCTATTGTCAGCCTACATACACATACGTGGATGGAGATTGCACTGTTCCTGTCGAATCAGCCACGGTAACCATTCTCTGTCACAGTGAAGTATGCCAACTATCTAGTACTCCCTCCGTCCCACAATATAAGATGTTTTTGCAGCTTGCAAAAACATCTTATATTGTGGGACGGAGGGAGTATCTGCTTTAAACAGTAGAAGCTTTTTGGTGCGCTAAGCTATACTTTAGTTGATTATACATACTCTAACATGGGGTCCGGCAACGGTGGTTATGCCTGTGTTGCACAAATGCTTATCATCTTACATTCTTATGTGTTTCTGTTCCTTATCGAACGATAGCATATCTATTTACAACCGATTTTATCGTGGCTTATTGTGCCTAACCTTGCCATTCACAATATTGGATTTTACAAGCTTCCCCTGCACTTATGCATCTATATTTGCTGACAGGCTGATGGGTTCCCAGCGAAAGAAAGGGTAGGCGTCAGGGCTGACCACCGAGGGCTGCTGTGTGATGAGAATGTGTTCAAGTTTCTCAAGAAATGGCTCGGCGTAAGTGAGAACACACGGGGTAGGGTGTCGAAATCGCAAATCATGGACATGCCCCCAGAGAGGATCCCTGATCAGGCCAGTCTCTGATAGGTATGGCATCGATTTCTTCGAGGGAACGGTTATTTTGGTCCTTTCCCTTAAGAGAAGGGCACGCAGATGTACCGGTAATTGTGTACAAAAATTATCTACCGTGTGGAACATTGTGAAACACTTCATGGGCATATATCACAATGTAGTACATATATCAATATATCATATGAGCCTGGAAACTTCTGTTAAATATTGTCACTGTAACGACGGCTTCGTCCACCGGCCATTTCCTGTCGTCCCCTTGCCTCCTATCGCCGGCTCCGGCATCTACCGGGTTTCCTCTTGTTGTGTGCACTTCGTGCTTTGTGTTTTACTGTATTTTTGTTTGTGTCCATGGCAGTGGAGAAGCCGCCGTTTGAAAATAAGTTTCTCCGGCTTCTTCCCCGTCATCGCAGCATCTTCTCCGATGGCCAGGCTGATGTGTGAACGGGGAAGCCTCTGCCCCAGGCAAGATCTCACGCGGTGTTTAAAACATAGAGAAGATTCAGGCTTGTGGATAAGCCTTTGTCAGTTTTTTTTTTGCCTCGTCCCAACATTCTTGTTTGTATCTCTAAATATATTAAGCTCTCTGGGAAGCTCCCCTATGTCACCCTGTGTTTCGGTTTTCTTCTTAGACGCATTTAACAATTACGCGTGGCATGAGTTTCACCGGCCCTAGGATATGTGGTTTTGTTAGTGCGTTGAGCATAGTGGAGATACGTGCCATCAAACTTTTGACATGTTAGTTTCATATATGGCCATAGTCGGATAGTCCAAACAACATTTCTAACGCTCCTCCATTCTTCGCCAAATTTCATGAAAACAGAGACCACGAGAGAGTGTGGGAGCCCTGGATCTTTGGTTCTAGCATGAAGATACAGGTAGGAGTTCTTGGCGGCGTTGTGGAGGAATAATGTTGCCGGAGTTCCATCCCCATGTTGGAAAAATATGAGCAATTTACCATATGATTTTATTAACGGAAATACTAGATAAAACAAGACTAAAATAGCAGAGATAAAGTAAGTCATGCGATCTGACAGAGAGAGGGTAAATAACATCTGCAAGTATGAACTAGAACCAAACATCTCTACAACAGACAGTAGATGAAGTTGCATATATAAAGTAGAGCCTAACATGTCTAGGGCAAACACTAGAACAAGGATCTGTGGTAGGGCCTCTAACAGGGAAAACAAGAACACGTACGGGACAACAGCAGCAACAGTAGCACTGGACTTGGGGTCGGTGTCCTCGGTAGCCATGTCGTCGACGCCAGGGAAGTAGTCGTCGTCGGGGAAGTAGTCGTCGGAGTCCGGGGTGTCCGTGACGAAGAAGTCAGTAGTCGCGCTGAGCGCTCCCCAAAAACCTTATCACCCTTCTCCCGTACAAGACTCAAAAGGTGCGGTTTCAGAGGCCTACTGTCCCGACCTGCGGTGCAAGCCGCAAGCCGGGATGGGGAAGATCGTAGCAGCAACGCAGTGCTCAGAAACCGGTGGCGAGAGGAAGAAGTAGTTCTGGTGCGTCTCTCTGAGAGGAGCGACCTCCCTTTTATAGGCGCAAGAGAAGGGGGCGAGAGGGCAGCGCCGGGAGTTGAAGGGAACGAGGGAGATGAAACGAACATGCAGCAACCGAGGGGTGCAGCGTTCGTATTCAATATCCACTACAGTAAAAACTTTTCAGCTCCCGAGTGACCTTTCGTATACTCGTAGTGCGTGGCAAAAATTTAGACATCAGCTCGGCTCATTCCCGCTACCCGCGGCATGGCGTGTCGTGTCGTGTCGTGAAGAGGCGTGGCGTGGCGGCGGAGGAGGAGCGTGCGTGGATGTCCCTCTTGTTCTCATGCTCATACAAGTGGGGAAAGAGCCTCCCTTATAAAGAGGTCCAACTCCCTCTAAACTAGCAATGTGGGACTAAACTTTAGTTCCACCTCTTGTCTTGCACAAATGGGCTGCGTGGGCCTCTAGGATTTATTTGGAAATTCTGAAACTGCTATTGGGCTGGCCCAAAATAGACAAAATTCCAGCAATCCCCCATCAGATCCCAGAGGCACACAAATTTTGCCTTTGGTTCCAAAACACTGTTTTATATGCCGGTACTGCAGTGGAGACTGTTAAGTTGAACTTCCACCTAGAACTCTATGCTACACTAGTAAGCAACTTGAACAGTGGACTGGGCCTTGAACTGCAAGTTTTCTGCGAATCTAGCTTCACACAAAGCCTTGACCGATACGTGGCTAGCGTGGGTCTTCCCCGCGGGTGGAGCTTATGCGTCATACTCCGAGACCTTTCATGAGTTTACTAGAGAGAACCCTACTCTCATAGATTGCGACGTTTAACAATCAGACTCATATAGGTGCGTTCTTCAAAAGATGTTCTGCAGGACAACATCTCTTCTTCAATGAGCCTCTTAGAACACATTAAGATATACATCAACCTGCCATGCAGATTTAGGAGAGTATTGCATCTTCATGGAGTGGTATTTTTAATAGTAAGGGTACTCTCCTCCCAGTTGATCAACAGCTTGTCTTCCACATCTAATTCAAGGGATCTCCGATCACAAAGAATATGTTACCATTGTGAACAACTCATATTGTGGGTCTCATACCCATCTCCCTCGATGCATTATCTATCACATTACGTGATAGACCCTTAGTAAAAGGATCCGCCAGATTTTTAGACGTTTGGATATAATCCAATGCAATAACTCCGGAGTTTCTCATTTTTCTGACAGACTTTAACCTTCTCTGAACGTGTCTTGATGACTTCATGTTATCCTTTGAGCTATTCACTTTTGTGATCACAGTTTGATTATCGCAGTTCATAAGGATACCCGGTACAGGTTTCTCAACAACCGGCAAGTCATTCAAGAGCCTACGAAGCCAATCTGCTTTGACCGTAGCTGTATCTAGTGCTGTGAGTTCTGCTTCCATTGTTGACCTCGTTAAGATGGTCTGCTTGCAAGACTTCCAAGAAATAGCGCCACCTCCATGAGTAAATACATATCCGCTCGTGGACTTTATCTCATCAGCATCTGAGATCCAGTTTGAGTCACTATACCCTTCAAGCACCTTTGGGTGCCCAGTGTAGTGAATTCCATAATTGGTAGTGCCTTTCAAATAACGCAAAACTCTCTCTAGAGCTTTCCAATGCACATCTCCTGGTTTTGAGACAAACCGACTCAGTTTGCTAACAGCAAATGAGATGTCAGGTCTTGTAGCACTGGCTAAGTACATAAGCGAGCCAATAATCTGAGAATATTTCAATTGGTCTCTAGCAATTCTTCGATTCTTTCGAAGCAACACACTGGGATCATATGGTGTTGGAGAAGGCTTGCAGTCACTATAGCCAAAGCGACTCAAGATCTTTTCCACACAGTGAGATTGAAGCAATTTAATCCCACCATCATCATCTCTCAACAACTTGATGTTCAGAATGGCATCAGCCACTCCTAAATCCTTCATCTCAAAGCAACGAGATAGGAAATCCTTGACCTCCTTAATAACCTTTAGATTTGTTCCGAAAATCAGTATGTCATCAACATACAAGCAAAGGATAACTCCCTCGCCCCCACCATGGCGATAATACACACATTTATCAGCTTTGTTTACAACAAAGCCTGCAGCTGTTAAAGTTCTTTCAAACTTCTCGTGCCACTGCTTGGGTGCTTGCTTAAGTCCATACAAAGACTTCAACAACTTGCACACTTTCCCTTCCTGACCATCTACTACAAACCCATCTGGTTGTTCCATATAAATTTCCTCTTCCAACTCTCCATTTAGGAAAGCAGTCTGAACATCCATTTCATGAACGAGAAGATCATGTGAGGTAGCTAGTGAAAGTAGTACTCGAATAGTGGTCAGTCGCGCCACAGGTGAGTAAGTATCAAAGAAGTCTTCACCTTCCTTTTGAGTATATCCCTTAGCCAGGAGTCGTGCCTTGTACTTTTCGATAGTACCATCAGGCCTAAGCTTCTTTTTGAATACCCATTTGCATCCTATAGGTTTGCACCCATAAGGATGATCGGTTATCTCCCAAGTTTCATTTGCCAAGATGGAATCCATCTCACTACGGACCGCTTCCTGCCAGTAGTCAGCATCCTCAGATGCATAGGCCTCTGAAATAGAACTGGGAGTGTCATCTATGAGATACACAAGAAAATCATCGCCAAAGGACTTTGCAATCCTCTGTCTCTTGCTCCTAGTAGGAACTTCATTGTTCTCCTCCACGGGTTTTTCAAAGTGTTCCATCGAAATGGCAGGTTCAGTAATTGTAACTGGTTCCTGATTCGATGAACTAGGCATCTCCTGATTAGATGAGGTAGCCATATCCTTTATGGGAAAGATATCTTCAAAGAAAGTCGCATCATTCGACTCCATGATCGTACCGACATGCATGTCAGGTACCTCAGATTTTACAACCAAGAATCTATAACCAATGCTATGAAAAGCATATCCCAGGAAAACACAATCCATAGTTTTTGGTCCCAGCTTCCGCTTCTTTGGATTTGGCACATTGACTTTCGCCAAACTACCCCAGGTTCGTAGATAAGAGAGCTTTAACCTTTTCTTCTCCCATTCCTCGAATGGATTTATCTCTTTGTTCTTTGTGGGAACTCGGTTTAGGACATGACATGCAGTCAATATCGCCTCCCCCCACCATGCCTTGGAGAGACCCGATGTGTCTAACATGGCGTTAATCAAATCAGTTAGAGTACGTTTCTTTCTTTCGGCCACCCCATTTAACTGAGGTGAATAGGGAAGCGTCCTCTCATGGATTATACCATGTTCCGCACAAAAGGAATCAAATTCATTTGAGAAATACTCTCCACCACGATCGGACCTAAGCCTCTTGATCTTTCGATCAAGTTGGTTTTCCGCTTCAGCTTTATAAATCTTGAAGTAGTTCAAAGCCTCATCCTTAGATTTCAGAAGATACACATGGCAGTATCTAGTGGAGTCATCAATCAATGTCATAAAATACTTCTTTCCACCTTTTGTCAAAACACCATTCATTTCACATAGATCTGAATGTATGAGCTCTAATGGTGCAAGATTTCTCGTTTCCGCAGTCACATGAGACTTACGAGGTTGCTTAGCTTGCACA